AAGCCCCCAAACCCTAAACCCTTAGAGCAATCGGGCCTTCCACAGGTTCTGCCGACCACGGAGTCTGAGGAGTTTCGACCCTTCACGCCCCGGGCCTCAGACAAAGGGTTAGCGTTGATGGGTCTCTTTGTTTTTGTGTATGTGTATATGGGAGTTTCCGAAAATGAGGGGTACCTTGTTTTGGAGTCCTTTTAGTGAGGATCCTATTGTTTCGGGTGCTAGATAAGGCTCCCCTATTTTCGGAAGCCCCCATACACATGTAGAGATAGGTATACACCCATGCCTGAACATACATAATATAGGGTCAGGGGTGTCTGTGTTCAAAAGAGAAATGGATGATTTTTTTAGGAGCGTCTTTGGACTGCCCTCCAATCCCGAAGCGCCCAAGCGCACAAGCGCAAAGGATAAGCCCCGAACTCCAAAGCCTCAGTGCTAAAGCCCGAAACTGATTCAGCTGCTGCTCTGGGTTTGGGTTGAGGCCTAGGGAACCCGAAAGCTTTCAGTCTCAAGACCCTATACTCCCGTAGCCTTAAACTTGCGGCCCTTCCGTTGCAGGCGCCAAAAACAGAGGGTTCATGAATCCAGAGCTTCCGGTTCGAGTTCAACAGATCTAGGCTCGACACCACAAAGCACATCTCCCCCCCGATACCGCTTTCTTCAAAGCCAACGAAATCCCAAACGCCAGGCGCAAGCTCCCGGAGTTCAAATTCTGGTTCGCAGCCATCCGTGCGGTGCTCCAGCCACAACTGCGGGCAGGGTTTGGGCCATGGGTGTCTTTGTACATTGGGGCAATACGATTTCACAAGTAATAATGGTTGTAGAAGTTTTGAAGTTGGAGTTCAGGGGTTCTGGGATTGGTTCAGAACCTTACAGAACCCGTGTAGAACCACTGTAACGCCTAAACCTCCAAACCCCTGACCCTGAAACCCCAAACCCGAAACCCTAAACCCCAAACCCCAAACCCTAAACCCTAAACCCTAAACCCTTAAACCCCGAAACCCCAAACGCCAAACCTCGAATGCCAGGTCCTAGTAGCGACGGTCCTGACTTTCCTGCCGGCCTTCGACCTCCCAGTCTTCTGGCCGATTCTCCTCGCGTGAGCAGGGGGGGTTTAGGGTTTAGGGTTTAGGGTTTAGGCTTTAGGGACCCGATTTGGCTCGGACATTCAGGCGATTGAACAAATCCTGATGCAAAAAAGTGACCCGATTTGAGCAAACTGGGTGTTTTCTGTATGTACACACATGAACAAGTAAGTAAACGGACAAAAGTATGTGTGTATATATACATATATATACATACACACGTATATATATATATACATATATGTATATGTATATATATATATATGTGTATTTTTATTTTTTCCAAAACGATATACACACCCACTCACACACACACACACACGTATATGTATGTATGTATGTATGTATGTATGTATGTATGTATGTATAGATATGCAGATACATATATAGATATGCATTTGTGTTTGTTTTGGGTTGTTGTGATTTTCACCCTAAACTAGGTGGTTGGGGCTTTGCGGCTTTATGGGTTTAGGGCTTGCTACGTGGTCATTGCATCCTGAAGCTTGGGACGCCATGTGTAAACAGGTTTTTAAGGTCTAGGAGTCTAGGGTTTGGGGTTTAGGAAGTCCAGGGTTTTGGGTGTTTCGGGGCTGAGAGGCTTTCCCGGGTTTGTAAGGTCAAGGTTCACACTCATGCCGGCACGGGTTGAGCTCAGTGCAGCGCTTAAGTGATTTTCGGCATTACCACCACTATAGCCAGTTATCGCTGCCCTCGTTTTTATTCCCCGCGTATTGTTTTGCATTGTCGAGACACTTCGGTTTTAAATCTGAAAATTGTTGCGAGCAGCCCCTCCTAAATCGACGCAGCTTTCTTCCAACCATAGGCGAGGTTCCCGAATTCTGTTTCTCATGTTTAGGGGTTACAGAAGGCTAGGTGCCATGTCGGGTTACAGGGCTCACGCACTTTCGCCGATGAAGCTGGGGAGGTGAAATGTTTTTTCTCTCTAATCTTCAAAAGGCTTTTCTTCGTATGGTTTTGCCTCAGATGTGTTTGGGTTTTTGAAATGCCCTCCCAGATTCGTGCAGGTACTTCATTGTGCTTGTGGTGCTGACAATGAAAGATCGCCCGGGGCAGAGTTTCTGCTGCAGAGCATAAACCCGTTAAGGTGTATGGCTGTTTTCGCCGGACAGTTCTTTCAATGCAGCCCGGCTTGTTAGATCCTTCCGGGCAGGTGTCAGGCACATGTTCAAGTACAAGTACGTGCCTTTCTCGATGGGCAAGCAGACGTACGGAGAGTGCGCCAAGGTGCTGCCTTGGGATATTCTGTTTGTTGGCAAATCTCTCAGACGTTATAAATGCGTTCCAGCATTGCAGTTGGTTAGATGACAACCTTATGACAGTCTGCTGCCATCGAGATGCTCGGCACTGATTGTGACACTAGTTGAGTGCACTTTTGCTTGTCATGAGTCGCAGGAGCGTTGCGAGTTGTGAATCAAATTCCTGCGATAAGCTTCTGCTGCCATGGTTATTCCAGGCAAGGCGCCTGTGATCCGTGCACTCGCTGTTCTAAGCAGCGCTGCTACCATTGCCAATGCTGGTGAAATGTCTGAGCACGTCTTTATTGTAGTAGCCAGCAAGTAACAGTCGGTTTTTGGTCGAGGGGGTGGCGGTGGTCGTGGCGGTATGGTGGGGGAGGTGGTGGCGCTGGTCATCCTGGTCGAGGTCGTGGTAGTAGTAGATTGCGAGGCGAAGCCACAAATATCTGTATTATGAGTCTAGTAAGTAGGGAGAGATCGAAGATTCGAAGCGCATCAGGTGGAGGTGCCGAAAGGTAAGGAGGACAAATGAGCCACTGTCTCGCCAGGCGGGGTCGTTTGGGCCTGCCGCCGGGGTCGTTTTTGGGACTTCACCAGGTTTTTGCCCTAGACCCAAAAGCTTCCAAGGATGGCACCTTTGTGGAGGACTTTCCTCATCATTGAGGATAATACAGTATAATACAATACAGTCATATAGTTATAGTACAGCATAATCTGACAGTAAATCTAACATATCCCAGTATATTGCAGTATATTATATTATGTTGAAGTATAACTGTCTATAACCTAGTACAACCTAGTACGACATAGCATATAATCACTTTGGAGCGTAGCTTGCGGGAACCGAGCCTCGAAGTGGACTCCCTGGTCGTAGACAACAGCTCCTGCTGCTTCTAACAATGCAGGTTTTGGGGTTTAGGGTTTAGGGTTTAGGGCCTGCTGCTGCTACTGCTCGCGGCTCCTATAGTGATTCCAGTGCTACGTGCTAAGACGATTCTACTCCTAGTGCTGCTCCAGCTGCTCATGTGGCTGGTGTATTTTGTTGCGGCTGCTGCTACATCGGCGGCTTCTAGTACACCTCTTCTGCCTGAAGGCAGAACTACGGTAAACAAGTGAAAACTTGCGCCGTGCACATGCTGCACAGGTTGACAGTGATGAAGCTGTGTGCAGATCTACACGCAGCTTCCTCTCTTGAGAAAGGCTGCGTAGCATGGAAGAGCGCGGGGTCATGTTCAGGGGTATGCCGGACATGCCTACAAACCCACGAGTCCTAGTGCAGAGCCCAAGAAACCCTTGCGTAGTAGCCTTGAAGACTTATCGAAAGCGAAGCCCGATGGGCTCCTCGGGTAAGCGCCAGATGCTCATGCATCTTTTCAGCGCGCCCCCATGCAGTTCGCCAACAATTCGGAAGCGAAGAAGTGCCGGCTCCCGCGTCGCCCGCCTCCCGCGTCGAGTTCTGCATGGGACCTTGTACTTAACTTGCGGGCCTTACAAAATCTTTCTGGCTCTATGTGGAGCCCTTCACCCCAAACTTTACCACAGTTTCACCCTCAACCGTTTCGGGATCGGCTTTTTTTTGGGGATGTCTGGGATTCTACAGATGATGCGGGAGCAGAGGGGGCTCGCGGTTGCATCCGCACTTCGGGGTTACAGCTCGAAAGCGCGGACAGCGAGGCGCTTAAAAGTAGCAGCGGAGAATGTTGGGGAAGGGGTGGGTGTGGGTGAGGGAATCGTTCGCGGGTCTGGGCTCTTTGTATTCTGAGAGGGGGTACTGTGTTGTGTACGAGTATGTGGGAGTAAGCTAAACTCTAAGCCCGAAGCATCAAACCCTTGGCCGAAAGCCCTGGCAGCCCTAGCCCTTGAGCTTTGTTGCTAGCTTGGCTTCGCCTCTTTTAAGCTTTCACGAGCACCTCGTGCTTTGCTACAAGGCTTTAAGCACCGAGTCATAAAGGGTCATTACAAGGCGTACGGACACGTTTGAAAAAGGCCTACTGTCAGGCTTACTAGACGGTGTTGAGAAAGGAGGAACCTCTCAGCATCGGGAATTTCTGAGCGGGAGTTGCAGGGTTTTGGGGTTGATGCAAGCAAGGCTTCAGGGTTTGGGGCTTAGGGTTTATTGTTTCGGAGTCTAGGGTGACTAGAGTAGGGTTTTGAGGCATGCGGTATAGCTACATAGTTGCACAAGGACTAGAAGGCAATACTGTTACCTGCATGCTGCAGATCGCATGCGTGATTGGCCGACTTTGAAGAGATGCACGGACGAGGTGGTCGGCATGAAAGATAAGTTTCAACGTACATTCACAACAATGCATTTCAGTTTTCTATTGTATGTCAGCCGTTCTGTTCTTTTCAAGCGCGTCCGGAACTACCATGTGGCTCGCCACTGGATTGGTACATTCTGAAGTACGCCGTGTGCATCAGATCACGTTAATCTGGGACCCAGATCCACCTTAATTGTGTGACTGCTAGTTGGACCTTCGTTGCTCAGACGCCTCGCCCGGCTTGTCCCAGTTGTGAGTGGAAACCCGTGGCAAAAACCCTAAACCCTAAACCCGAGTTGAGAGCTGAGGGCGCATTTTAACCCTTCAAATACTCCTAACTCTTAGACCAGCCCCTACTCTGATAAGACTGGAAACTCCTACAAAACGCTCATTTCGGCCCCTACAGGGCTCTTATATTCTTATACACACCCTAAACCCTCAACCTTAAACCCTAAACCCTAAACCCTAGGCCGACCGCCTATAGTAGAAGCTCTGCACCCTACTTCGGCCTATGCGGAGCTTGGCTGGGGCTTGGGTGCCTTGGATAGGCGCGGAGCTCGGGGTTTAGGGAGTTTTCGGTTTGGGGCTCAGGGTTTAGAGTTGGTTCCAGCTGTTTCGTAAATGGGATTTTTGGGGTTAGAGCTCTCGGGGGGGGGGGGCCTAGGGTTTAAGGTTTTCATCCATCTCGAGGGGTCGCGATTCACTTCTGCGCTGCCGTTTGGAGTAGACTTCTGGGCAAGTTCCGGGTAGGACAGGGCCCGACCCTTATTGTATTATGGTAGTTCTTATAGTAACCTGTATGGCAGCCATTGCGGCAAACCTGACAGAACTTTATACAGTAACCAAACCCCGAACTCTTCATTGCCAGCTGTCCTGCCATGAATTGCTAGCCGTTGGATGGTGTCCGGTCGTTAGGTTTAGCAGGTGGATTGGAAGCAGTCCGAAACTAGCAATGGTGTTCATCCGCTCGTGGCAGTCGTTTGCATTAGCTCCTTCCGGATTGCATAACGAAGTCTGCCGCAGGCTTGGATCAAAAGTCTGATGTAGCATCGCCACCTGACCGCCGTTTCTTGCCAATGTCATGATACATGTTCGTGTTTGCCGCGCTTGCTGGGCTTTGCCTCAGCCGTGTGCACGCCGTGCGGCCTGAAATCTCGCTCAGTCAGCAGAGAGATGCCTGGCCAGTGACGGCACAGTTTTTCGAGATTTCTTTGAAGAATCCGGGATCCCTGCAGCCGAGACCGAAAACTCCAAACCAAACTTCTCTCTCAGCCTGAACCCGAAACCTTCAGCCCCAAGCCCTGCGCCCTTTTGTCTTCCCCCTAAATCCCTAAAGCCCTGCACCCGAAAGCCCTAAAGCCCTAAAGCCCTTAAAGCCCCTAAGCCTTGAGCGTCAATTCGGATTATTACTATTCTTCTTCCTTGCATTCTTCTCCTTAACATGATTAGTATGATGATTATCATTGCTGTTATTATTGTTATTAGTATTATTATTATTGTTTTCATTTTTATCAGTATTATTAGTGACTCAGCACCAATCTCTGAGTTGTGGTCGCCAAGCCCAAAACTTCGCGCCGAGGTGTCGTCCCAGCTCAGCCTACGGCCCAAAGAGCCGAGAGGGACCCTTGAGGAGCTTTATGTCAGGACCTCAGAACCGTGCTGATGAGCGCAGGGCATTGGGGTTTGGGTTTGCCGTTTGAGGGTTTATAGGGCTTCGGTACTTGGGGGCTTAGTGCCGGGACTTCGTACGCATGAAGCTGCTATTGGCTTTCGAACTCAACATGCGAGCCGTTACGGGACTTGATTTTTCTGTTGACAAGCATATTGAACCGCCTAGGCTGTTCAATGTTGAGCAACGGCAAAAACAACCGGGACGAAGCAAGCTGCTTCAAACGGGTCATGGTTACAATCCTAGCATAATCGGGCTCCAAGTATAACAAGGATCCTAGTGTTAGAGTCGTCAAAGAACGAAGGATAATCCGAGCTTTTCAAGAACCTTCAGCCAGAGCCAGGGCTTGATCCGCCATAGGCGCCGACGGCCAGCCTGGCACAGGAGGGGCATGAGCCTTGCGCCTTCGGCAGAACGGACTGGAGAAGTCATGGTGTTTAGGGTTTGCCTGAAACCCGAAGCCCTGCCTGCCTGCCTTGTGCGAGAGTGAGTCGAAATCCTAAACCCTAAACCCTGAACCCTATGGGCTCGGAGACGCCGAGGGATTGCGCAGACTCTGACACCAACCAACAATGCCTTGAACAAAAACCCCAGGAGAAGTTGGAAGAGAGGGAGGTGGGTGTTGCGCCCCTGAACCCTAAACCCTGAATCCTAAATCCTAAACCCTAAACCCTAAACCCTAAACCCTAAATCCTAAACCCTAAACCCTAAACCTTAAACCCTACGGTTGGGAGCTTGCAGGACGAAGGAGGCCCGGACTTAAATGTGGAG